GTTTTACAGTGATGACATCTGATTTTCTCAATATTCTTAGCTTTCTTTTTAAAATTGTTAGATTTAGAGGAATTGGATATTTTAGCAGATAAAGCAGATTTATCAGAGTAATTGGATTTAGAAGTTTTACCAGCATTCGCACTCCCAAAATTGGCATTGAACTCCTTCTTCCCTTTGGATGTTTGTACAAAGTTGACGATATCCACTTCCTTTCCTTTGTCATGCTTCTGTCTATTTTCTTCTTGCACACACTGTGCAATCAATTCATCCACTGTCCAGGTTTTGTCTTGAGTGTTATAAGAAACCTTTAGTTGACTGAACTTCAAAGGCAAGGCTTGCAGAATCGTGAAAACTAGTTGCTTTTCACATATATTCATGTCTAAAGAATTCAACTTCTCAGCTGCATCAGTCATCTTCATGATATGGTCTCTAATTGAGCCTTCTCCCTCAAACTTGTAGGTTGTTAGAAGTGTCATATACTGAGCGATTTCAGCCTTCTAAGACTCTTTAAATTTGTTCTCAATAGCAGTGAGATAGTCTTTTGCCAGATCACACTTCTTTATGCCTCCTCGCACAGTGTCCGTCATACCACTTTCCAATATGGACAGTGCAACTTTATTTGCTCTTGTCCATCTTTCAAATTCCACCTTTTCAGATTTAGTACTCTTATCATTAAGAGCTGCAGGTTGTGGCATGTCAAGTGCTATGTCATACTCATTTAGTGTCAGGAGCAATTCAATTTCTCTTCTCCACTTCCTATAATTGCTTCCACCAGTGAGTATGGGCACAACAGCCAAATTTATGGTTTTGAGTGAAGCTGCAGAATGACAACAATGAAATCAACACATTGAATCCAATAAGATTCCTGATTTCCATCAATCACTTCACCTTAATCCAAATATGAATCAATTTAATCATATATATATTCATAATCTCCCAAGAGAGAACATATATAGAATAAACAATTCACAGGGAATTTCAACACATATTCATGTTCAAGAGAGTGAATCTTAAATATCACTCTTCACATGGATTTAGCAATTTCAATGTTGGTAAAACAACTGCAGTTATTAATTTCTATAGCAACGGAAGCAATTTAAGCATACTGCAATTTCAGTTTATGGAATTACCAACAACAAGATGAGAAATTATATCATCTATATTCAAACATATTCAATTCTTCAGTAAGAATCATAGACGAGAAGGATATTAATCATTCATACCTTTCAAGATTCATATATGAATGCACGAATGAACAAAATCAAGATAGCAAAGATGAAAAGGAAAGATAACAGTACTCCTTTGTCATCGCAATCCTTTGAAGGAAAGAACAAGATAACCGAGAACCCAGAAAACCCAGAAAAGATAACCGAGAAAAATTTCCGAAAACCCAGGAAACATTACTGCTTTGTTAAAGAGGAATAATTCCTTCTTTTTTTTTTTTTTTAATTTATTTTTTTAATGGAAAACGTCGTCGTTTAAGTATCCCCTTAAAAAAAAAACTTAGTTCGAAAAGAAAAAACTTTAAGAATATAGCAGATTAATCTTTTGTTCTTTAACCAAGATTTCTTAATTCAATGGTCAAAATTCTTTGGCTCTGATACCACATGTAAAACATATATGTGCATATGTATGTCCCAATATCACCAATCATAAGTTAGCCAATTGAATTATCAGAAACCAAGAACAAAATATATAGATCAAGCATGCTTATGAGAATTAAACATGGAAACTTGCATAACAACTGACCTGCAGAACCTGAGATCAAAGACGACGCCATTGCAGCTCTACGAATATGTTTAATCTTCTCCTCTTTCTCAAAGCACAAGTACTCCCCGAACAATAGGTATTCGGAACAAATATCAAAAATGAGCCGATCTTTGCAAGAGCAGTGACTAAACATATATATAGCAGTGTTCCAAGTATTCTCCTATTAGAATTTGTATGGAACTCAAACAGCTAAGCCATATCACAATATGAATCAATTAGACTCCTGATACTGAGTCATATCCCATATAGAATTGGTATACCACACTCTCTCATAATTCTATAACAAATAGGATTTACCAAAAGCTTATTAACAGGACTTTTCCAAACAAAGATTTATACAATCCGGCTCTAAATTGTTAGTCTCATACTCATACTCTTACACCAACTACTACCGGGCTTATATTCCTAACATACTAAAAAATCTCTTGAAGAAAGGCAATAAATTATTAGAGTAAAAGAGGTGAGAAATCCCACTCAAACTAGGGTTTATAATCCCAATTCCCCACTCGAAGTCCCACTCCAATCTACTTCAATTCCCATTGAAATATCTGTAAGTTGAGCGGTAACTTTATCATGGGCAAGAACGAAGTCTTCTCACCAAAGGCAATCACCAATCGAAATAAAGCCAAGGGACTCCAGACGCTGCGATGGTACTGCCCCGATGTGCCAAAAACCATACACTTGTTAATATTTAGTGCAAAGCGTAAGGTTGAGGAGACGTTGAATGTTTGGCTTATTACGTATAATAGGAGAGAGTTTTCAATGTGCCCATAACACAAACATATGTCAGATGCCATTGTCATTATATAAGTGGATAAACGTTTGAAGAAAAAAAAGCTTCCTTCAATGCCCCATGCTCTGGACACATTGAAAAATCTTTCCTATAGTAGTGACCGAAGTTCTAATTTTGATACGCGTTTTAAGGAGAGGATGAAGAAGAAGAGGACTAGAGAAGGAGAAGCAGGAGAGGGAGATTAAGAGGCGGATTGAGAGGGTTGCTCAGTTGTTGATTCCATTGAATTTGATACAACAGTTGTTTCACGGAATCGATCATCTGCATGCATTTCCTATTTGTAACTAGGATGACTAGACTTCAAAACAAACTATAGTAACATATTTGAAATGCGGTACAAGAGAGTTGGAAGACTCTTCTTCTGGTTTCGTGCTGCATTTATGCATTCAGTTTCAACCGGCTTCCTGAACTCGATTGTCGTTGTTGGCATACGATGACATACTGATATAAAGTAGTCCTTTGTAACTTTTCTGTAGCTACATATTCTATATGGATCAGCTCATCAGCTTATATGGGAATGAATGAGTAAGGATTTGGAAAATGATGTAATAATTCTTTAGTCTTTGATCTTAAATGGCATTAAGTTTCCTACATCTTTTCTAAATTAAGATCGTGAAAGTAAATCGATGTCTGATCTTTTATCAAGCGTGCCAACGTTCATCAGTTGGCTGCTGAGTGATATGATGCCACTTGGCATCATATTATTGTGACATGTATATCATTGGGTGATTAGAAAAAGAGAGAATTTTAATGAAAAAATTCCGATATTGTTTACTTTAACGAAAAATCACATTTTTACACTAAAAAGTTAATTTGTTACTATTTATTTTATTTTTTGTTTTATCCTTATCATTAAAACTCAAAGTTTTCCAAATTATTGTCTTGCCAAATGAGAATAGCCCACCTGTCTTCTCTAAAACTACTCCAAACATCGGTTATCTTTGTAACCAAACATCAATCATCTTCCTCACCATCAAGCGTAGTTTTCTCCTTGCACCCCAACAGCAACCCCAAGCCTTGTTTTCTCCGTGCACCCCAACAGCAACCCCGTCAAAAAGGACTGGAGTGGGATCGCTGTCGAAGAGGACTAGGTGGGGTCGCCGTCAAAGAGACGATTGACGTTGGACTCGCCGGCGAACAGAGGGGTTGGGGTAGTTGAGATCGCCGGAGGAGAGATGGGTGGAGTTGGGGTTGCTGGGGAAGGAAGGGATTGGGGCGAGCTCACCAGAGAATTGAGGGATTTAGGGTTAGTCTCGCCGGAGAAGAGAGATGTTGTTCTCACCGGGGAAGAGGGGGAACCGCCGAAGAAGGGAGGGGGTTGTCTGCACGGCAAGAAGGGAGGAAGAAGATGGTGTTTGTTTGGTTACCAATATAATAAGAGTTTAGAGTGAAATTCATTTGACATGTTATATCTGTATTGGGCCATGGAGGGCTGTCAGTAAGTTGGGTACTCTCTAGTGAGTTCTCAAGTATTGTCCGATTAGAAATTGTAACTAATTGTGGTTAAAGCTGTTAGTTTATTGCTTGGCAGATAAGTATGTTCATAGTTAGTATAAATGAATCCGGATCCTCTTTGTGAGATCACGGAAATCAGTAAATCGTGTATATTCATCGTATATCGTACGGTCAGAAATCATTTTAAATAATTTTATTTAAAATTGAACACAAACTGTACTTGATAAAAACTGACCGAACAATGTACAGTGAACAAATACGATTCACGAATTCTCAAGATTCTCACGAAAAGGATCCGGAGAGCATCCTGTTGGAGTATAAACAGGGGTTCTTGTAAAGCAGCATGCGTCAGTTGCAAAGTTGTCATTTGTGTAATAAAGAGTTACGTTTACAGGGCAATTGAGAAAGACGTAGAGAGGGTCTTAAACCTTATTTGCATTTTCTTGGAGTCGGACATACTTGCATAAGGGTACACTCAATTTCTTGGAGTCGGACATACTTGCATAAGGCGCAGATTTGCGTCCGTAGATCCATACAGAGTTTCAGTATGCGAGTAACGGACTCCCGAACCCAGCTATGTTCACGCTACTCCGATTACAGAGCAGAGTATGCAAGAAGTCTTCAAGAAAATCCAGGCAATTGAAGAAAATCAAGCTAAAATGTGGAGTTCCTAAGGTCCTTCTGAATCGGCAATTCGGAAACTTGTTGGCTAAACATGAAAGTTACATATTGAACCTGCTCCTATGCAATCTTCCAGCTTAAACACACAAATACATAAAATTCATGTACGTCCTCTGTAGGAAGAACTGCTTACAAATAGATTTAGGACATCAACGTTCGAGTGTAAAAGAAGAAGGAAACTATTCGTCCTAAATCCTAATATGTTCGACTCCAAGAGAATATAAACAAGATGCAACTGAACTCAGCAGCCGAACTGAGTTACATGAGTAAAAGATTTACAAACTGATGAACATTGGCACGGTTAATAAAAGACCAGACATCAATTTACTTTCACGATCGCAGTTTAGAAAAGATCTAGGAAGCTTAATGCGATTTAAGATCAAAGATTGAAGAACTATTACATCATTTTCCAAATCCATATATGCTGATGAGCGGATCCATAAAGAATATCAAGCTATAGAAAAGCTACAAAGAACTACTTAATATCAGTATTTCATCCGAACGCCAACAACGATAATCAAGTTCAGGAAGTCAGTTGAAACTGAATGCAAAAATGCAGCATGAAACCAGAACAAGAGTCTTCCAACTCGCTTATCAAAATTCGGTAAGATATACCTCACTTGTGAGAACCATAACCGTTCACACCCAATTCCACTTCGCCGGCTCTCTGCATTGCCAAATTCCCCTCCTCTTTAATCTCGTCATCCTCATCAGAATCCAAAGTAAACCGGCTCTGATTATCAAACTGATGTATTTCTGTGCCAAGCGGCTTATAGTGCGAAACATCAACCCGAACTCCGCCACTCTTCCTACTGATAATCGAGTACACTCCCACAACCATAACCACCATAAAAGCAAGATGGCAGTTAAACTGAAGCGTGACGATGGCTCTAGCCCTGTGATACTCAGGGTGCCCCTTACATTTCACTGTGTAATTCCCTCTACTCTTTTCGTGCAACGAGCATCCGTGCGCTATGAAGCCGGTGTACAAAGAAATACCCATTTGCAGAAACCACATTCCTTGCAGAACCAGCCCAACCCCACGAGCCAATTTCGGATAATTCGATTTGGGGTTGTTGAATTCAAGCATTGTAGAAAATATACACACAGCAATAGGCACAAGCAACAGATCAAAGTACCGATTTTCGATTCCGAAAGTGTCTTTCCTTTGCAGGTAAAACATTAAAAATTCTTCAACGAATGCGAAAAGACCGATCAAACTAAGCAACGAACAAGGCAAAGTTGAATTCGTGAATTTTACCAGAAGACCCGTGATCGCGTAGAGCAAGAACAGCGATGCGACCGCCAGGACTTGCAATTGCATAGCTGACCCGACTCCGTCGGCTGAGTCGAGCGCATCAAAGAAAGAAACCAAAGAGTTCAAGATGAACAGCAACGAAACAACGGCGGCGGCGAGGTAATAAATCGACGACGATCGAGACTGGGTTTTCGGCGGCGGCGGGGGACGAATCGGAGCTTGAGGCGGCGACGGCGGAGATGAATCTGAATCTGAATCTGCGTTTGGGTTTTGGATTGAAGAAGAAATGGCCTCGTATGCGCCCATCAAAATCAGGCCGCCGCCTGCGGCGGCGAAGGTGAGAAACCCCATGTGCTTGATCTTCGGATTGGTGGTTTTTTTCCCTTCTCAGAGCAGAGATGTTGACGGGCTCCAATTCCAATGGATTGTTGGGATTTCTGAGACTGTCGGGTGGTTGATCTTGCTGGCGGGCGCCGACATGTCGGACTCTTTCGGAATTGTCTAATCGATGATGATGTTTCCGTTGACAATTGCAGGAGGATACTGACTTTTGGGTTGGATTATTTGCATTTCGGAATGTGCTCCCTTCTGCTTCAGCGAATTTGCGAACTAGCCGGGTGGGCTTCAGCTAGTCCAACTGTTTTGTGGTCAAGCCCAATTGTGAAGCCCAACTTTTATGGGCTTCTTGATTTGATATTTTTTTAGCTCATTATATAAACTCAACAAATGTTGCGAGGTAGATGAATACATGAGCTCATGTGCATGAATAAACAGTCAAAATCCAAGTATTATCCTTTTCGTTTTATATATTTGTGCGTTTATGCTTTATGGTCGTGGGTCATGTGACTAGTGACTTGTGAGTGTTGTATAAGCTTCGCATGGACAATTCATGTGAATTCTCAAAAAAAAAAAAAAAAAGTGAATAGAAAAGGGAATAAAAGCCAGAGGAGAAAAAACATGGGCCGGATAAGGTAGATGGAGACGTTATCCAGAATTTAAGTGAGAATATGGATAGGAACACAACTATATACATTAAGTATCATAATTAGGCTGCAATCAAGCGCATGCAACTTTCTTTTTAATTTTAATTTCCACTTCTTTTTTATTCATTTTCTACAAGATTTCTTTAGACAGCTTATATTCTTAATAAAGTTGAAGTTTTATTTCTCTACAAAGGATTGTAAAATCATGTCAATTAATAAAATTATTTTTTTGACTAATGTACCAAGCATTTATCACATCACGCATGGTATAAATATATGGTATCCCCATCATTATTCGTTTTTTTATTAAGGAAGTAATGCAGGCACTTGGCACACTTCTTTTTATCATGTACGCACTTCTTCCAAAGGTTAGAGACACACTAAAGGGTGCAAAGGGACAAAGACAGTGTGCGAAAATCACTTCCAATTAATTATATAAAATTCATTTGCACTGATTATCGTTCTTTAGGAAAATAATAAGAAAAAGAAATGAAAAAAAAACAGGAGAAATGTGTGGCTACATCCATTACTGGAATGCTACCTACCTTCTCTATTTGCCTTTTCATATTTATCTTTCACACTCATCACTTTATAGGTGCATTTTACTACACCCGCTTGCAGAGGATAGAACCTCCTCCCCGCATGCTCACAACCGGTAATTCGGGGGTCAGCCCGTAAGATTTCGAGTATAAAAAGCACGTTCCCCGTATAGTATCATGCTCATCTCCTTCTTTCCCTCTCTCTTTCTACACAAAAAACACGACAGAAAACAGACAGAGTCCGATGACGACGACGAAGAAGATCAAAGGGCTTGTTCACTTCGTTTTCTCAATCTACCTGGTTTCTCTGCTATCGGATGTCCAAGTGCCCGTGCAAAGCCGAGTTCTCTTGCAGAAGAAACCCGACCCGGAGAATGCTGCTGCCAGTGCTCGTTGGTTGGTCTCCCAGAATATTTGGGGCGTCTTGGAGTAATGATCTCTTTTCTATCTTCTCGTATTTTGGTGCTGTTTCTGTTGGTTTTTACTTTACTGTCGTGCGTTGATTTGGGGCGCTCAGTTTTGATAGTACAGAGGCTTTTGGCCTACAATGCATGGATACATGATACGACACAATACGACATGGATCAGATGCATAAAATTAACAAGAAGAATTGATATATGACCACAAGAGAATACGACACAGAGATACGTTACGACACGGCACATGATATAAGGGGATACCACCGTGTCAATACATACATTTTGGCTATGATTAAGTTTGCTGATTAGAGAACCAAATTTGTGTGATTTTAATTTGGTTTCTTATTGGTCAAATTGGAGATCTGATTTCGAACCTTGTGTGTTGTGATGAAATTCAAACATGTGTTGGGTGCTCTAGAATCTTGCTTGTAAATTGGTGTTAGAAAGTGTTTTTAGCGACGTGTGCCATTAAAATTTAAAAGTGTTTTTGATTATGGAAGCACTTGTTGGGGTCATTTGTAATTACTTTTGTAAGAAGTACTTCAGCTCATAAGTGTTTATGCTAGAAGTGTTTTCATTAGAAAGTAGTTGATATTTGTGTTTGGATGTTAGACATTTCATGCTTACTTGTGTATTTTTTTTCCCTTCACAGTACTATCTCAAGCGATTTGGGAGGAGCACCCTTCGGGTAAGATTTCTTATTTCTTCTTGTTATATATATTATCGCGTTAGATATACTACTCAATGCTAGTATTTGAGTCAAGTGTTCCTCACGAGTACAAGTTTAGGCAAAAGCGAAATATTTCGCAGGTTCAATCGAGGCCAGACATACACTCCTAGGCCTCGCTCCATAGAGAGAATTAACTTGTGTAGGACTATTCACTATATTAAAAGTATTTTAAAAGAAGAAATGAATGACAAATCCTTATTTTCTCGGATAAAATAATTTTGAAAATACGATGCAGGAATGTGGTTTCATTTAGCGACGGAGAACCTGGAAATGGCAGTGGTATCCCTTACTTCTACTTGACAACTCTTGATCCGACTGCAAGAAATGCACTGAAAGATCCAAGAGCTTCGTTGACAATTAGTGAACATCCTATCGGAACCTGTGGCAAGACAGACCCAGAAAATCCCACTTGTGCAAAGCTTACACTCAACGGGAAGGTGTGTCGCAACAGAAAATTTATTTGTTATCCGTACTATCCTCGAGAAGAAGGAGAAATCGCATTGATTTTGGCTAACCTGGAATGCATGATATTTTTTCAGCTGAAGCTTGCGGATCCCAAAAAAATAGAATTTGCTAAAAGGGCCTTGTTCTCGAAGCATCCGGAGATGAAGGGTAATACACAAATATACTGTTTGAATTTTTTCAACACGGTTGATATTTTTGTTAAAAGGGCGACTCCAACCCAAAAAGGCTTCTTGCTTTGCAAGAGTCGGTGGAACGTTTATCGTACACAATCTTACTCTTTTTTGGTCAAGAGGTTGTTTCCACAACTTGAACCTGTGATATTTTAGTCACAAAAAACCTTTCTGTTGTGCTAAGGCTCGCCCTTCATCCCACATCAGAGAAGCTGTTAAATTTTGGCCAAAATTGACAAGTTTTGTTAATATTTCCGACATATCGGTTAAATATTGACAAATTGTCATATGACATTTTCCAAAAGCAACCGATATTGTTATCAATAACGATATATCTATCAATATTTTCATCAATTTATTTATCGATATTTCTACCAATACCGATATTATAAACATTACACATTAGTACACCGTCTGTAGTTATTTTGTAATGGGTAATGCTAGGAAGATTAAATTTGTAGACAAAATTGAAAATTAAAGGACATGGAAGCTGATGATTGGTATATTACTTTAGCGTTGATAAATGTGTTTATTCCTATTAGTAACACATAATTTAATTTACAAACTCCGAATTTAGTCTCCTAGCATTACCCCTTTGTAATTTCAGCTTTTCGTTTCATCTTCCGCTCAACTATCAAGAGTGATATTTGTTTTTGCTGCATGGTTAACAGACTGGCCCACGACTCACAACTTCCAGTTCTTCAAATTAGACATCGAGAACATCTTTCTGATCAACTGGTTCGGCGGTCCAAAACCTCTCACGGTCGATCAGTACCTTCATCCAAAAAAATAAATTTAGCCTCATGTTATCATATCTGAATCAATAAATTTACTTTCATGTCTTCATGTGCTTAATTCAAAATAAATTTACTTTCATGTCTTCAAGTGCTTAATTCAAAAGTTTCTGTTTGTTTTTCGACTTCCTGAAAACGAATCTCCGCCATCTACAGTACAGAGAACGCCTTGACTCGGGGATTACTCGTGATCAACTGTGATTCGTCTTGCTTGTTTACGAGCTGGCTGGATCTGCATTTGGATTGTGCATAAGAATTCTGTTGTATAATACAGGAGACAAGTATAATTGTATATAAAATCCATATAATTTCTATAAATTGTTGCACGAGGACGCTGAAGATATATTCGAACTTGAATGCACAAGGAGAAAGTATTTTTGCTCAAACGAATGTGGCCAAGTCCACGTTTGCCAATACATGAGTATATCAAGATATAAAAAAAATCTAAGCTGATGGCGTTATACTGCAGTGATGGAAAACCTGTTGCGAGTTATATATTAGTTAAAGTGTAAATAGGAGTTTATTGTCCCACATTGGTGAAGTACATATGTAATACCAATTGTAACTCCTATTTATACTCCACTCTGGAGATTAATGAATATATAAGAAATTCTCAAATATTGTCATATATATTTTTGGCATTTACCATGTTTAGTTTGATATGGCATCAGAGCAGTTTGCTTTTGGTGACCTGTGTGCTTTAATTTTGTGCCCACCTTTGTTGTGATTTCCTTCGTTGAAAAAAAAAGGTAAATAGTGTCGCGCTACATTACATCGCTTGCTACATTGCATGAACAGTGGTCTGCTTTGTGAACAGTGATCCTCTACAATGTCGTAAACAGTGATTGCTACAGTCTTGAATAGTCTGCTCCTACAATGTTCTGGTAAATTGTTTTCATTCCGCTGCGTATCTTTTGTGCCCTTATTGTTTGTGATTTAGTTCAATGACTCAATATAATTATAGTGTTGTTATGCATCTTGGTGGAACAAATAAATAGATAATTGATACTGGGACCACTGATCATATGACTAGTGATCCTAGAGTGTTTGATGAGTTATGTGACTATGTTCGTGATCCGTATATTACTAGTGCAAATGGAGCACATTCCCCTGTGAAGGGTGATGGCACTATCTCTCTTATTCCGACCTTATCACTGGTTCATGCTTTACTTGTTCTTGATGTTAAGTGCAATCTTTTGTCGATAGGAAAACTTCTTGATACCTTATATTGTTCTGCTCACTTCTACCCTACGTATTGTTATTTTCAAGACATTCAAACTCAGAAGATAATTGGTCGTGGTAAAAGAATAGGGGGTTTGTACATCTTGACTATGGAGGATACTGTTGTTTCCAGTTCAAATAATCATCAAGTTTTAATTGCTAAAGTGGATGACAGACATCAAATTTGGTTGTGGCATCGACGATTGGGACATCCATCATTCAGTTATATGAAGCATCTATTTTCTTCTTTGTTTCACACTTGTAGTGATTCAGAGTTCAAGTGTGAAACATGTGTCATGGCTAAAAGTCATCGTACCTATTTTTTCATAAGTGATTCTAAATCTACTTTGCCATTTGATTTGATACATTCTGATGTGTGGGGTTTGACGAAAGTTACTTCTAATGGATTTCGTTGGTTTGTTACTTTTATTAATGATTGTACTCGGTTAACTTGGGTGTTCTTGATGAAGAATAAGAGTGATGTTTCGTTGCTTCTTCAAGAATTTTGTACAATGGTGTCTACTCAGTTTTAGACCAAAGTTAAGGTTTTCAGGTCTGATAACGGAGGAGAATATGCGAATCACACTTTTGCGAACTTTTTTCGTGATCCTGGTATTATTCACCAGACGACTACTCCGTTTACACCCCAACAAAATGGTGTGTCTAAATGGAAGAATCTTCAAATAATGGAGGTTGCTCGCTGCTTGATGTTGGATAAATGTGTTCCTAATCATTTGTGGGGTCATGCTATTTTGGTTGTTGTGTATTTGATCAATCGTGTTCCAAGTAGGGTTCTTGATTTTCAGACACCACTTGATGTGCTACAAAAACATGTTTATCTTGTTTCAGTATCAAAGGTTCCTCCGAAAATGTTTGGGTGTATTGCATATGTGCATGTTTACTCTCATCAGCGGAGTAAACTTGATGCATGTGCTTTCCGATGTGTCTTTATTGGGCATGCTAACAATAAAAAGGCTATAAGTGTTATCATCCGACTCAGAAAACTTATATTACCATGGATGTCACCTTCCACGACGAAGTTTCGTATTTTGTGAAACACCCTTCCGACTTTCCACTTCATGGGGAGAAGGGGAGTGAAGTGCAAATTCGAAGAGATGGTATGGATGATGTGTTACAGGTAGAGTTGGGGACAGAACCTATTATGTTGCGTAATACTGATCAGTCGGCTACAAATAGTGATCGGTCACCTGTTATTCCCGGAACTATTTCTACTGACGACAGATCAGATGTGCCCAGCGACTTGCCTGTTAGTATGTCTAACAAATTACCTTCTGATAATCAGTTGCCTGCTGCTGGTATGTCTAACGAGTTGCCTGATGATGGTTTGTCCAATGATGATTCTTCTAACAGTTTGGTACAAGATGGTGGCATACATGAGGTAAATTCTGATGATTCTTTTACTTATCAGTTGCTTTCAAGAGCTAATCGTGGAAAACCTAAAGTACAATATGAGCCTGATATGCATGCCAAAGTCAAATATCCTATCAACAATTATGTGTCTACTCATTGTTTGTCTAAACCATATACATCTTACATATGTCAGCTATCTAGTGTATCAATTCTAACAAAATTGCAAGATACTTTGTCTGACCCTAAGTGGGTTAATGCCATGAAAGTTGAGATGGAAGCTTTGGAAAAGAAATCTACTTAGGATTTGGTTCCTTTACCAAACGAGAAGAAAGCTGTTGGATGTAGATGGGTGTTCACTATTAAGCACAAAGCAGATGGTTCTATTGACCGATATAAAGCCAAATTAGTTGCTAAGGGTTATACTCAAACCTATGAGGTGGACTATCAGGAGACTTTTGCTCCTGTTGCCAAACTTAATATTGTGCGTGTTCTTCTGTCCTTAGCAGTAAATCAAGATTGGCCTTTGTTGCAGTTTGATGTTAAGAATGTTTTCCTTCATGGTGATCTTAATGAGGAAGTTTATATAGATCTCCCACCTGGTATCGGAACATCTATTGGAAAAGGTGTTGTATGTAGGTTACAAAAGGCTTTGTATGGTTTGAAACAATCTCCTAGAGCGTGGTTTGAGAGGTTTACAAGTTTAATGAAGAAGTTTGGGTATATCTAGAGTCATTCAGATCATACTTTGTTTCTAAAGCGAAAAAATGGTAAGCTAATTGCATTGATTATTTATGTTGATGACATGATAGTGACTGGTGATGATCAAAATGAGATACAACGCCTTCAAAAGTACCTAGCTACTGAATTTGAGATGAAAGAATTGGGTGAATTAAAGTATTTTCTTGGAATCGAGATTGCATGATCCAAGCATGATATTTTTCTGTCGCAACAGAAGTATGTGCTTAATTTGTTAGCTGAAACAGGTATGTTAGATTGCAAACCTGTTGACAGTCCGATTGAGCAGAATTATCATCTGGGCTTATTTCCAGATCAAGTTCCTACTCATAAGGAACGGTATCAGAGGCTTGTGGGGAGATTAATTTATTTGTCTCACACTCGTCCTGACATTGCTTATGCAGTTAGTGTGGTAAGTCAGTTTATGCACTTACCTAGTGAACCTCATATGGATGCAGTAACCCATATTTTGAAGGCTCCTGAAAGAGGCTTGGTTTTCTCCAACAATGGTCATTTGAATGTTGAAGGATATACAAATGCAGATTGGGCAGGTTCCATCACTGATCGGTGATCTACATTTGAATACTTTACGTTTGTGGGTGGTAATTTAGTTACTTGGAGAAGCAAGAAACAAAAAGTGGTGGCTAGGTCAAGTGCAAAAGCTGAGTTTCGTGGTATCTCATGGTGTATGTGAGTTGTTGTGGTTGAAAAAACTGTTGAGAGATCTTGGGTTTAAACTCAAAGGTGCTATGAAACTTCATTGTGATAACAAGGTTGCTATTGAGATTGCTCATAATCTAGTGCAATATGATCGAACAAAACATGTGGAGATTGATCGACATTTCATCAAGAAAAAGTTGGATGCTGGAATTATTATGTTTCCGTTTGTGGGGTATGAAGATCAACTTGCTGATGTTCTTACTAAGGCTGTGTCTAATAGTGTGTTTTCCAACTCGCTTGACAAGTTGGGCATGCGTGACATCTTTGCACCAACTTGAGGGGAAATGTTGCGAGTTATATATTAGTTAAAGTGTAAATAGGAGTTTATTGTCCCACATTGGTGAAGTATATATGTAATACCAATTGTAACTCCTATTTATACTCCACTTTGGAGATTAATGAATAAATAAGAAATTATCAAATATTGTCATATATGTTTTTGGTATTTACCATGTTTAGTTTGATAAAACCTAAGCAGATGCCTATGCACTCTGGCGGAAAACTTAAAACGCTGAATTAACGACGAGTGACCTAATTCCATCATTTAAAATATCAAGTTACGTAATTTAACTCATCTCCCCTGAAACCTGATGATAATGGTGCTTTTGGTTGGAAACATGTTATAAATACACCTAGTTTCACTGCCATGGAATCCATTATGTCAAGGATCTTGTCTCAATCTAGACTTGTTTATTTTGTGGAAAAATAATACATACTAATTTGTGTAATTACTTTCTGTTTTGAGCCTTCCCCAATCTCATATCCACTTCATCTGATTCCTCTTTGTTTGTTTCCTGCTTTGACATGCAGTCCTTGAAACTTCATGTTTTAAGGCTTAACGAAAACATAGATGAATTGAAGTTTCAGTTGGTGAGTTGTGCTGGGTTTCTATGTTTCTGTTTTATCATTTTCTTTCAAAAATCTATGTCTGTTGTTCTCGGCAAAGTGAGGCAAATTGTGCTATGTTTACTTGAACTAGGATAAAGACAAGGGATGCAGAAAATACGCCCTCGGTTAACGAATCAAGAACTCAATTGGT